ACTTTGCCCATTTAAAAAATCATGTTGTTGAGTTTCAGGAGGTTTTTTTTTAGTACATTTAGATAACAGTCCTTTATCAGACGTCTCCTTTGCAAATACATTTTCCGAGTCTGTAGCTTGTCTTCTCATTCTCTTGACGTTGTCTTTCACAGAGCAGAAGGTTTTAATTTTGATGAAGTCCAGCTTATTGATGAATTCATGGATTGTGCCTTTGGTGACATGTATAAAAGGTCGTTGACATACTCAAGATTATTTAGGTTTTCTCCTATGTTATGTTCCAAGAATTTTGTAGTTTCGTGTTTTACGTTTTGGTCTGTGATCCATTTTGAGTTAACTTTTGCAAAGGGTACATAGTCTGTGTCTAGATTTATTTTTTTGGCATGTGGATATTCAGTTGCCCCAACACCATTTGTTGAAGATGTTACCTTCGCTCTATTGTATCATCATTACTCCTTTGTAAAAAAAACGTCTCTCTATATAGGTCTGTTTCTGGGGTCTCTATTCTGTTCCTTCATCTATTTGTCTATTCTTTCATATTACCACACTATCTTGATTCCTGTAACCTCATAGGAAGTCTTGAAGTCAGATAGTGTCAGTTCTCTGGCTTAGTTTTTCTCCTTCAATATTGTATTACTGACTGTTCTGGGATTTTTGCCTCTCTATGTAAACTTTAGAATCAGTTTCTGAGTACCTACAAAATAACTTGCTGGAATTTTGTGTGGGATGGCATTGACTCTGCAGGTCAAATTTGGAAAAACTGATACCTTTACAATATTGAGTGTTCCTGATCATGAACATGAAATATCTATCCTTTTATTTAGTTCTTTTTTTTTGAGATGGAGTCTTGCACTGCTGTCCAGGCTGAAGTGCAGGGGTGCGATCTCGGCTTACTGCATTCTCCGCCTCCTGGGTTCAAGCAATTCTCCTGCCTCAGCCTCCCGAGTAGCTGGGACTACAGGCATGTGCCACCACACCCAGCTAATTTTTTGTATTTTTAGTAGAGATGGGGTTTCACCATGTTGGCCAGGGTAGTCTCCATCTCCTGACCTTGTGATCCGCCTGCCTCGGCCTCCCAAAATGCTGGGATTACAGGCACGAGCCACCGTGCCCGGCCTAGTTCTTCTTTTATATTTTTTTACTGTGTCTAGAGTTTTGCAGTTTTCCTCATATAGATCTTTACATATTTTGTTAGATTTATACCTGTTTCACATTTTTGGGTGCTAATGTAAATGCTAATGTGTTTTTAATTTCAAATTTCACTTGTTTATTACTGGTGTGTAGGAAAGCTATTGACTTTTGTATATTGCCTTTGTTTTGTGCAAACTTGCCATAATTGCTTATTAGTTCTAGGAGTTTTTGTTGTTATTATCATTGCTCTTTCAGATTTTCTACATAGATGATCATGTCATCTGGGAACCAAGACAGTTACTTTTCTTCCCTCTCAATCTATATATTTTACTTACATTTTTTGATGGTATTTTATTAGCTAGGACTTTCAGTACAATATTGAAGGCAGTGATGAGAGAGGGACATGCTTACCTTGTTTCTCAGCTCAATTAATTTTTTATATTTGTGTTTAACCTTAAGCTTTGCTTAAAAAAATTCTATTCCCATCACTCTTTTTTTTTTTTTTGAGTCGGAGTTTCGCTCTTGTTACCCAGGCTGGAGTGCAATGGCGCGATCTCGGCTCACCGCAACCTCCGCCTCCTGGGTTCAGGCAATTCTCCTGCCTCAGCCTCCTGAGTAGCTGGGATTACAGGCACGCGCCACCATGCCCAGCTAATTTTTTGTATTTTTAGTAGAGATGGGGTTTCACCATGCTGACCAGGATGGTCTCGATCTCTTGACCTCGTGATCCACCTGCCTCGGCCTCCCAAAGTGCTGGGATTACAGGCGTGAGCCACCGCGCCCGGCTATTCCCATCACTCTTATCCTTATCCCTTCTGGCTCATTTTCATGCATCCTTTCTTGGTAACCATTTTCACCTATTTCTGAAATGTATCTTCTGTGTTTCTTTTCCTTTTTTTTTAAATAAGCAAATATGTATGCTCGTGTTTTTTATTTCCTTTTCATTCCTAAACAAAAGTTGATGTACTCTATATTATCTTCTGCATCTTGCTTTATGCATTTAACAGTATATCCTGGAAATAATGTAATATTAATTTATAGAGATAGTTCACATTCTTTTTCATAACTGCATAATATTCTCTTGTGTGAATCTCCCATCATTTGTTCAATCAGACTCCTTTGAATAGGCATTTGGGAGTATTTCCATTTTTTTTTAATGCAAATAATACTGCAGTTGGATAATCTTATACATACATTGTTTGGTATTTGTAGAAGTTTATCTTCAGGGTGAATTCCTAAAAATGTGATTGTTAGGTCAAAGGGTAGGGGGCATACGTTGTTTTATTGGAAATTGCCAAATTCTCCTCTGTATGAGTTGTACCTTTTTTTTTTTTTTTTGAGACAGTCTTGCTTTGTTGCCCAGGTTGGAGTGCAGTGGTGCAATCTTGGCTCACTACAGCCTCTGCCTTCTAAGTTCAAGTGATTCTTGCACCTCAGCCTCCCAAGTAGCTGGGATTACAGGTGCCTGCCACCACGCCCAGCTAATTTTTGTATTTTTAGTGGAGGCGGCGTTTCACCATGTTTGTCAGGCTTATCTCAAACTCCTGACCTCAAGCAATTCACCCGCCTCAGCCTCCCAAAGTGCTGGGATTACAGGTGTCAGCCCATTACCGCACTCAGCCCATATGAGTTGTACTATTTTGTACTCCAACCAGCAATATATAAGAAGGCCTGTTATCTAAATACCCACCAATTGCATGTGTTCTCAAGAATTTGAATTTTTACTATTTTAATAGTTGAGAAGTTGTATCTCAGTGTGGATTTAGTTTGAATTTCCCGCATTATACTGAAGTTGAACATCTTCTTTTAGGCTAAGGTACACCCTCATTTCTTGGCTGGATTATTAATAGTAGCCTCCAGACTGGTTTCCTTGACTTTATTTCTTTCTAATTGTCTGCAATTCTGCTAGAGAATTCTCTCTAACAAAATAAATCTGATCATGAAGTACACTTAGTAAAAGTCATTCAATTATGCTCATTGTTTATAGGAAAAAGAAATCTAAGGTTTAGCAAAGTGTACACTATACTTTAAATCAGTTCCCTGTCTGCATTGATACCAGGCAGACAGGGAAACTCACCCCAGCTCCTCGCACTCCCAGTGTCTTTAAACCTGCATGTATGCCATTGCTTCTTCTTGGAATCCCCTTCTCCTAATTTACCAGGAAACTCCAATCCATACTTCAAAGTTCAATTCGAATATTTCTTTGATAAAGTTTTTCTTTACTGTCTCGGTAGAGGTACTTAGCCTTCTGGATTGCTGTAGAACTTTTCGGTACTGACTCCCACAACAGCATTCATGAGGCTGTGCATCATGATTTATTTTGAAGGCCATCTCCACTACTCTTTGAGCCCAGAGCCTTCTTTTATATATCTGCCTCCAGTTTCAAGCACTGCTCCAGTTACATAGTGAGTGCTAAATGAATATTTGCTTAATGAGCAAATAAATTATGAGTGCAATTTCATCTTCCTGGTGTTTGCTGATATAAAATTTGGTATTTTCTCTTTTTCTTTTCCAGGCTTTCCTTTTGGTAGGATGCTAATGTATATGTTTAGCTGCTTAGTAGGCATAATGAGGCTTATGACATTTTCACAGTTTACTACCATCCAGTCTCTAAGTTCCTTCAGCAAATGATGGATCATCCAGTTATTGAATCTTACAGCTGGAAAGGATGCTGAGGAATCATTTGGCTCCTCATCCTCAAGGAAGTACTTGGGCTTCTGTTCCATTGTAAGTGGGCGGGAAGAGAGGACTGTATGAATTCAGATCTCGGCATCATCTCAGTGTACACCTTTCCTTTCAAACATGTGTCCAATAGTCCTTAGGATAAGTTGTCATGATTCTGGACAGGATGGGTTGTAGCAGTGACAGCGATTAAATTTTAAGGTAACAAAGTAGATAGTTCTTTTCGGGTCAAAGGAAATACAAATGCCTCATCACCAGCTTTACCCTAACATTCTGCAGATCTTTTTAATGATCGTGGTGTAGATATGCCTAAAATGTCTGAAGAACCCAATGAGGGTATTTTAGCTGCCTATCCCTTTTCATCGTCTGGTTCCCTGCTCTCTTACGTTATTACAAATTTTAATAGTCATCATAATGATGACATGCTAGGCTGTTATGGCACCCATACTGATGTGATTCAATTGGAAATTGGCATTTGACCCCATCTCCCCAAAGCCTGTCAAGATAGGGGTCCCTCCCTACTATGTAAGGAAGATTTATTGATCACTTTTCAAAAACAGCACTCTCCCCTGCCCCCGAATCAGTTTGTCTGTGTGCTTTTCTTATTCTCTACTCCCTCCTTATAAATAAACTGTTGCACAAGCCCCATAAGGGAGACGTCTTAGCAGTTTGGAGAGTGGCTGATGCTGTGTTACACATTAAGGAGCGACTGTTGTCATACATCTTTAATCCTTAAGCAAGTTTGTTGTGCTTACTCCGAAGAATAGTACAACCTGGAAAACTGCCTGGAAAGATGCAAATGATATTTGCATTCACTGTAGAATGTAATTTATTCAAACAGGTACTGTGCCAGATACTAGAGATAGGGCATGGTCCTTGCCTCCATGGTGCTGATTTTCTACTGGAGGAGCAGGAAAGTAAAGCAAATGAATAGATAAAACGATAAAAACAAGGAAAAATGTTATGAAGGAAGCAAGTGAGAGTATGAAATAGGTGATCATAGGAGGGACTTAGTTTTGGTAGCTTGGTGGGAGACAATCTCCTTGGGGAGGTGATGTTTCTGCTGAGAACTGGATGAGACCAACAGGATTAACAGCAAGGCAAGCACCTTTCCGTGCTTGTGGATAACATAGGTCCCGAAGCAGCAAAGATCTTAGCTTTCTGTTTTTTGTTTTTTGTTTTTTAAAGGCACTGGAAGAAAGAAGAATAATGAAACTAGAGCTTAATGAACATGGAAGAGAATGGAACAAATCAAGCTGGGGTTGAACAGGTAGGTGGGGGTCAGATTTAGCAAGGCCTTAGGGGTAAGTGTTGGAGTTTGTATTGCATTTTGAAGATGATGGAAAGACATTTTAGGGTTTTACACGACCTCATTTACCTTTCTTCTTCTTCTCTTTTAGAGATGGATCTCACTAGGTTGCCCAGGCTGCTCTCAAACTCCTGGGTTCAAGTGATCCTCCCACCTCAGCTCCCCAAAGTACTGGATTACAGGGTTGAGCCGCCGTACCCAGCTTGAGTAACTTATGAAGATCAGTTTTATTGCCTTGAGAAGAATGAATTGGAAGGGCCAGGTTGGAAGGAGAGAAATGAATAAGGCGCTGTGTATAACTAGGAAGGGATGCTGGCGGCATGTTTGAGGATGGTGGTGGCAAAGATGGAAAGAAATGCATGAATCAAGAAACATTTGGATGTTAAATGGGTGAATCTGAAGGATAGACTGGATATTGTAGGGTGAGGAAAAAAGGAAGAATCAGAGATAATTTCCAGATTTCTCCATTCTTGAGCAGATGTGTAGTTGGAGACACTCATATTTTCTTTTTTAAAATTATTTTTATCTGGCTAGGCCCAGTGGCTCTTACTTGTAATCCCAGCATTTTGGAAGGCTGAGATAGGAAGATCTCTTGAGGCCAGGAGTTGACAACAGAGTGAGGCCAAGATTCTACAAAATTAAAAAAAAAATTAACCAGGTATGATGGTATGTGCCTGTAGTCTCAGCTACTTGGGAGGCTGAGGTGAGATAATTGCTTGAGCCCAGGAGTTTGAGGTTACAGTGAGCTATGATGGCAATACCACACTCTAACCTGGGTGACAGCAAGACTCTGTCTCTTAAAAATTTATTTTTACCTATGTATGTGTATGTATATACACACACATTTAAAAATCAAACAGTACTAAAAAGAATGCACAATTGAACATATTAGCTCTTTCCTGTTCAACAACTTTGCTCCCCAGAGGCAAATATCTTCAACGCCGTTAGCTCTGCTCTTGGTATTTATTTCTCAGTTTCTAAATAATCTGTTTACTTTGCTGTTTTCCTTAAATGCCTGTTGATCATTGGCTGTTTATGTACAGGTAAGAGTGAGGCCCTACTGCATGAGCCAAAGCTTCGTGGGCATGGCTGGGCCTTGCTGCTGGTTACCAGGAGGCTTCTCAGGGGGAAAAGTGGCCACACAGCCATGTCTGAAGGTCACTTTTGTGGGGCCCCTCAGTTCTCCAGGGATGAAACTGCCTGGGGTTTCTTGCCTGGGAACTCGTCCTATTTTTCTGGGAGCAATGCTGGATATGCTTCCTACCATAGAGGTACAGACTTTCTATGAATTACCCTCTTTTCAACTCTGAATCTCCCTCTCACCCTTCTTTATGCTTGGTGTCTGGATCTGGAGTGGCAAGTTTCAATTTCTCTGAAGACCAAATCTTTAGTCTCCTGTCTGACTTATGGGAGGGTTCTGGTCACATTTATCCTGCAAATGGATGGGTGGGAAAAATTGAGAATTCCGGGTTTGACCATATGATGAGATACTCCTAAGAGGTGCAGTGAAATATATGGTTGGGTGTGAGGTTTGGGACTCTGAGAAGTTGTTTTTGGAGAGAGAAACCTGGCATCACCAGCCCTGGAGGGCACAAAAGGCCATAGAAATAGATGCCATTAATCAGGAGAGGGTGGACAGAGGTGCGGAGATGGTGCACAGAGGTGCGGAGATGGTGCTGACCCCCATTCTGAGGAGCTCCTGCAGTAGAAAGCAGACCTGCTTGTGGGCTGGGAGAAAGGGGCAGGAGGAGGGCACCCCTTCTCTGAGGCAAGGGGAGGAAAAAGGCCCATCTCACTTTGTGGGAGAAAAAAATGGTTCCTGAGATCCCAAGTGTCCATTGTTGGAAGAGTGAATAGACAAAACGTGGTACATCCACACAATAGATAAATAATATAATTTAGTCCTAAAAAGGAAGAAAATTCTGACACGTTACCATGTGGAGGGGCTTGAACGATATTATTTTACTGAAAGAAGCCAGTCACAAAAGGACAAATATCATGTGATTCCACTTCTATGAATTGCCTAAAGTGGTCCCATTTATGGAGACAGAAAGTAGAATGGTGGCCGCCATGGGCTGGGTGTAGGGAGAGTGAGGAGCTGGTATTTATTGGGCACAGAGTTTCTGTTTTGGAAGATGAAGAGAGTTCTGGAGACGGGTGGGGGTGATGTACAATATGAATGTACTTAGTGCCCTGGAGTGTACAAATGTTTTGAATTTCAAAATGGTTAAAACAATCTATTTCATGTTGTGTGTATTTTATCACAAGAAAAAAGGAAATTAGAAAGATAAAATGAAACAGAATGAGATGGAAAAATAAAGAAACCAACCAAAACTGGTAGCTGAGGAGACGCAACACAGCCATGTAAACCTGCTTTGTTAATTTCATCCAGTCCTACCCTCAGCTGTGTGTGTATTGTGCTTAGTGAGGCGGCATCATTGTTGCAGGGAGTAAATAAAAGGTGAGAGTAGAGAGAGCTAGAGAGGAAGTTGGGGAAAGAGGAAAGATGTAGGGAGGGTAAAGGATTAAGAAGAGGGCAAAGAATAAAAGTAGAAGGAGGGAAAAAGAGGCAGAGAAAGAGAAGCTTCCAGTAAAGGCAGGATAGCCAGGCTCAAGGGCAAAGATAGGCCGGCCACTTGTTCTCTTGGGCTTGCACTACCCCCCTGTGACAAGGACGAGGATGCAGGGTGTGGGTGCCACAGAGCTCTGTGCACTGCTCGAGAAGGCGATGGAAGTGAAGTGAATGGAAGCAGTGCCTGTGCACCTGTGGATCCTGATTCTGCAGGTGAATAAGTTGTCTTTTCACTCAAGCAGTCACAGGTAAAATAATGCTTCTTAGCTTACAGCATGGTGTAGAGAGAGTTTATGGAAAATATACAGTGTAATTTCTGAACTGTCACTGTATCTCACAAGGAAAGTGCATGAGAAACATGGATTTGCTGTGTAGCACGGAAGAGAACCTTAAGCGAGATCTGTGATTTTTCCAAAACACTTATTTTTATAACACCGTTTGTACTTGCCTGTTTAGAGAAATTAGGCAATAAATGTAGGCCAGTGGGGAAAATGAAAATCTCCCCAAATTCAACTAGGCAGGGATAACAACTATGTTAGCAAGTTGATGCACTTCAATTTCTACCTCCCTGCTTCCTGAATCTGGGCAGGCTGGTGACTGCTTCAACCTACGGGGCAGGGTGGAAGGGAGGCTCTGCGACTTCTGAGGCTAGCCATAAAAGCCATGCAGCACCTGCCTTTCTCATTGGAACACTTGTTCTCAGAGCCCACCACAGAAGGGGTCTGACTGCTCTGAGGCTGCCATGCTGTTCGGATGCCCCTGCTCCGCGTTGAGGTCACAGGCAGGCAGGCTGGTTAACAACGCCAGCCGAGTTATCGCAGCCTGAGTACCAGACATGCCAGCGAGCAAACCTTCAGATTTTTCCAGCCCCAAGCCATTTGACTCACACACTGCCAATCAGTTCCTCTCAGCTGGGGCTCCAGACATCAATGGGCAGAGATAAGCCATCCCTGCTGTGTCTTGTCCAAATTCCTGACCCACAGAATCTGTGAGCCTGAGAAAATGGATGTGGTTTTCTGCTGCTAAGCTTCAGGGTGGTTCATGATACAGTTACAGATAATGGGAACACCAGCACTTCAGTTCTCCTTCTCAGAGACAGCAACCCTTACCAGCTCCTTGTGTGTTCTATTAAGGAAGTTTATGAATGCACAATCACATATTTTCCCTTTTAGTATATTTTTAAAACAATTGGTTGCATACCAAGCACATTCTGGACTTTGACTTTTGTTTTATTTAACAACATATCTTGAAGATTGCTCTTCAGCTGTACATATAGAATCTCTTCATGTTTTCATAGCTGCATAATATTATCGTAATTTTAGTAACAAGCCCTATATTCGCGGGCACTTAGATTATTTCCAGTCCTTTAATTGTACACACAGGTTGTGATTGCTGGGGTGGCATCTGTAATTTTGGTGACATCGACAAGTTGCTCTTCATCGAAGTTATTTTGATTTTCTCTTCTAACAAAAATGCCCGAGAGTATCAGTTTCTTCACAAATACAGTGTTTTGTTTTAAATCTCTATCAGACAAGTTTATCGGAATGATCTATTCCCATAGTTTTAATTGTTTTGTTATTTCATTGTTTATTTTGAGGATGAACAGCTGTCTGCATTTCTCTTTTGATGAACACTTAAATTCTTAATCCATCTTGAGTTAATTTTTGCATATGGTGAAAGGTAAGGGTCCAGTTTAATTCTTCTGCATATGGCTCACCAGCTTCTCAGCACCATTGATTGAACAGGGGTCCTTTTCCCATTGCTTATTTTTTGTTGAGTTTCTAAAAAATCAGATGGCTACAGGTGTGCAGCTTTATTTCTGTGTCATTTATTGTTTTCTATTGGTCTAGGTGTCTGTTTTTGTACCAGTACTATGCTGTTTTGGTTACTGTAGCTTTTTAGTATAGTTTGAAGTTGGGTAAAGTGCCTCCGGCTTTGTTCTTTTTACTTAGGATTGCTTTGTCTATTCAGGTGCTTTATTGGTTCCAAATGAATTTTAGAATAGCGTTTCTAATTCTGTGAAAAATGACAGTGGTATGCTCACTTTGGCAACACATATGCAAAAAATGACATTGGCAGTTTGATGGGAATAGCATTGAATCCGAAGACTGGTTTGGGAAGTATGACTATTTTAATGATATTCATTCTTCCAATCCATGGGCATGGATTGTTCCATTGTGTCATCTATGATTTCTTTCAGCAGTGCTTTATAGTTCTCCTTGTAGAGATCCTTCATCTCCTTGGTTAAATGTATTCCTAGGTATTTTATTCTTTTGTGGCTATTGTAAATGGAATTGCATTCTTGATTTGGCTCTCAGCATGAACATTTTTAGTGTACAAAAATGCTACTGATTTTCGTGCATTGATTTTGTATCTTGAAACTTTGCCG